TTCCTTGGCAGTTTGTGAGTTCTTTGAAATGTTACAGTGAAATACAGAACTGTAAGACAGGAGGGAGAGTACTGAGGGGAGGAGTTAATGTTAGAGATGATGGAGTGGTTTGGAAAAGTTGGACATTTGGGACATCTTTAACCTCTGCCTCATAGGGACCAGCCTTGTACTGATCCTTCCAAAAGAAATTATTTGAGCATTCTCTATTTTGTGATGTGTTGTAAACCCTAGCCTCTATGCCTGTTGTTATGGTCCCATTTTGCAGTGAGTTGTCCATTATGTTAATGCGGCGGATTAGAGTGGAATGCATCTTGAGTCACCACCTGACTATAGGGTGTGAATCAGGTCACCACCCTTACCCCAGTCACCACCCTACACACCCTTGTACCGCTTTGCTCCTACCCTCCCTTGAGGTTATAGTGTACATTTAATACATATGAATACTCTGGCAAAGCTCTCACTCTCTTGCTCTGGATTTGGCATCTGGCCCGTCATCATCTGACCTCCAGTTCCTGGAACGTGAGCCAGCAACCTATCATCTGTGCTGATCCCGGCTTCTGTAGCCTTGTGCGTCACCAACATATTGTCTGATGTGCTGATTTTGGTTCATCAGAACCTGCAACCATGTGAGTCAGGAGAAGTCTCCAGACTGACACCTGACCCACGGATTTGGGACTTATCAGCCTCTACAATGGCTTGAGCCAATTCACTGATGGTTGGTTTATGAGTTCTGTGAATTACAGAACCCAAAGGTAGGAGGGAGAGTACTAAGGTGAGAAGGAGGAGTAGATGTTAGAGATGATGGAGTCAATACAGCAACTTGGAAAAGTTGGATATTTGGGACATCTTTAACCTCTGCCTCATAGAAACCACTTTGTGCTGATCCTTCTAAAATAAATGAGTCATACAGATATGTACATAAAAACATCTATTAAACTTAAGGACTTGAAGACTTTAAGTCCTCAAACTTGAAGACTACTTAACAATTTAATCAATGAAAACAGACAAGGCAATCCAAGTTTGCAGCCTCAACAATGTTGTTGTTAGGTGCCATCAAGTTGTTCCAACTCATAGTGACCCTACATATGACAGAACGAAACATTACCTGGTCCTGTGCCATCCTCAATATGGCTCTATGCTTGTGCCTATTGTTGCAGCCACTGTGTTGATCCATCTCACTGAGGGTCTTCTTCTTTTTTGCTGGCCCTCTACTTTACCAAGCATGATGTTCTTCTCCAAGGATTGGTCCTTCCTGGTAACCTGACCAAAGTACTTGAAACAAAGTCTTACCATCCATGTTTCTAAGGAACACTCCAGCTGTACTTCTTCCCAGACAGATTTGTTTGTTCTTCTGGCAGTCCATGGTATATTCAATATTCTTCACCAATGCCATAATTCAAAGGCATCAATTCTTCTGTGGTCTTTCTTAATTATTGCCCAGCTTTTGCATGCATATGAAGTGACTAAAAGTACCATGACTTGGGTCAGGTGAACCATAGCCCTCAAAAAATCTTTGCTTTTTAACACTTTAAAGAGGCCATTTGCAGTGAATTTGCTGAACGTAATATGTAGTCTCAATAACAGGCCAGGCGAAACCTGCAAATAATAATATAAATGAAAGATACTAAAATAATATAAATCAAAGTTGAAAACAATGGCAATTTACTTTTCATCACATAGAGGCTCATTGCTTTGATATCCTATAATGTCAGGGCATTCTAAGAAAGACTAGTTAAGTTTTGCCACAAGTTTTCATCATCAATAATAGGAAATTCTGCTATAAAAACATCGTTGTTTTCCCAAAATATTTTTGAGGCACCTGATATGCTATCCATAAACCTTGGTTGCTTGAATAAACTTATTTCCACATATACTAGGCCTTAATAAGGAGCGTAGTGCCTAAGGCATGTGACTGCTAATCAGAAGGCTGGCATTTCAAATCCACCAGCCACTCCTCAGAAGGAAGGTTGGGCAACCTACTTCCGTAGTGATACTGCATTGGAAACCCAAGGAGGGGTCGCTATGAGTTGGATCTGATGCCACAGAGTGAGTTTGGTTTGGTTTTTGAGGCCTTGATAATTACAATGAATCCAGACCATTCACATACTAGAAAATGAACATAGAGAGTTTTCTCCCCATACATTTATTAATGTATTTTAAGAAAGTCTAGGATTTCAGTCTCAGAGCTACCAGAATACTCCCTCTGTCCTACCTAGTCAGTATTTCTACCATTGACATAACAATCATCATCATGATCATTCCTCAATTACTGAACAGGATACACAGGAAACTAGCTTTTTTTGTAGGTGTATTGCATGCCAGACACCTACACCTGCTGGCCTGTAAGCTCCTTAAGGGAAGGACCTATACCTGTCTTGTAGTTGCAGATCAATACTTTGTCTCTAATAGATGCTCTCCATATATTTAATGAATGGGCAATCTCATTAAATTCTCATTTTTCAAGTGAAAATATTGACATTCAGGAGGGCTAAGTAAATTTCTAAAGGTTAGAGAAAAGTAGTAAAATCAGGATTTAAGTCCTATTTGACTTTGAACACATTCTGAAAGACCATAATGTGGTTGTATCTCTGTGAGACTTGCCATATGATGAGGAAAGATAGGATGAGGTATGATGAGAAAATAAGATGACAAAGGCTAAGCTGAAGTGTTGGCTGTGGGAAGAGACAGATGCTACTGACAGCTTGAGGAGGTCAAGATTTGGTGACTGTCCAAATGTGAGAAGAGAGGAAATGGATAGAGCCAAGGATTGTTTTTAGGCTCTGAGACTGAGACTAGGAGAATGATGGTACCTGAAATAAGCAAATTTAGAGAGAACAATAAGCAAATTGGGGGAAGGCACTGGACATGAGGCATTCAAATACATAAACAGGCCATCTAGCAGTTGAGGCAAAAACCCTGTAGCAGGTGAGATCCAGGAATCCTATAGATGGATCAGTTACTAACTTTTAAAGGTTCTGTTTAATTATATACTGTAGTAAGGAATATGCTCCTTACTCTCCTTTAAGGGAGAGTCTATTAAGTGTAGTTTCCCTCAGGTAACAGGTACTTCTCAAAGTGTAATGTGACATTATTATAGCATCTGTGAAAGCTTCTTACATTGGTTTATTTACATAGTTTTTTTTCTGTGAGGTCACACAAAATCAAACGCATTGCCACAGAGTCTACTCCGACTCACAGCAACCCTCCCATGGTTTCCAAAGCAGTAAATCTTCAGGGAAGTGGATTGCCATATCTTTCTCCTGTGGAGGGGCTGGTGTGTTCCAATTGCTGACCAAATACCTCCAAAATATCCAAAACAAGACTAACATATCTACATGCTATGTCCAAAGCTGTTAGTGCTTTGCATATAGTATTTGGAAATACCGTTCCAATATATTATTTATAGTATATTAGTAGGCTATTATTTGTTACAACTGAAATTTTAAAAACCACCAGCTTTGAGTCTTAAATTACGGGTAAAAACTTTTTTTAAACTAAGATAGCAACTTCGCTTCCTCACGTCTTTCCCTTTGCACATCATATACAAGAAATTCTTTTTCAAGTGTTCGGTCTCTCCAAGAGGAAGGAGGGCACGATACAGTAACTTTTCTAAGAGTTCTGACAGTGGTGTCCAAAATATGCGGAAATAATTAGTTGGGAGCTGAAAGAACGTTTTACTCTCCGTGCAGGTTGTTAAACCAACTTTACCCGACCTTCAGGCCTCGCGTAGTCTCCTCGGGTGTAGTGGTGGCTGAGTATGACTGTAGCGGCGCGCTGGCTCGTATGGAGCCCAGCCGCCCCCTTGCGGCCACCCATCGGCATGAACAATTTTTAGCTCTAGGCTGCGCACGGGAAGAACAGGAAGCACGCTGAACGCAAGTCGCGGCTGCCGTCCAGGCAGGTCGCAATCGCGCGGGGGACAGGAGTCTGCCAAGATTCGGATGGAGACCTAGAAAATGGCTTCGGTGCACGCGCCACACCGGCCGTTATGAGAATCAAAACCGACACATTGGCGGCGGAGGCCGAGATAGAACGTGCCAGATCCCGACGCAACTCGACAAGCCCCGAACTCACGTACTTGCAGGGAAGGGACGGTCCACGTGCGGACGGCGCAGGTGCAGCAGCGGGCGAGTAACGTCACGTAGCGAGGTTGCGCGTGCGCGTGCGCGGGGGGGCAGGCGCGGAGTCCGAGTTAAATGCATTGTTTGCAGGCTTTAAACGTGTGGCTTCTGCTTTGCCCATAAGCTTTTTTCATCCGCTTTCCTTCTACAATTGGACGTGTCTTCTCGCGGAAAGGTAGACGGTGGAACGATCTATGCTCCGTAGACGACGTTAACTTTGGCCTGTATAAGAAAGTTTCGTAATACTTCTGGAGAATCTTTCAAAAGACGTGTTGCCCAATCTTCAGGCTAAATTGTGGTTTGAGTTGATGTAGTTAAAAGCAAGTTTGTAATAGAGAAGCAAAATTGAATTTCAGGTCCATGATTGAGTTGGATGGGTAGCTGTTCCCAGGGTCTCACCTTTAGCTTATCAAGTACTAAAGAGGCATTTTTTACCCCCCGAAACTTATTTGACCATTTTGAGTCATCGAAAGCCATTTGAATGCGGCTTAGGTTTTTAACAATGAAATAGACATAACCGATAGGATTGTTCACTTTATATCAAATTAACAATAAGGAATGAAAAGATGTTCCTGTGTTTAGTTAGGTTCAGAGTAAGTGAAAGGAACTTGCTTTGAGATGAGAGCCTTTGAACTTTTAGGCAAGTACGTTATGTTTTCTCAGCCAGTTTGCCTGTCTCTGAATGGAGTTACTGGATAAATTTTTCTGTGGATTAAACATGTACTTCCTTAAGCAGCCATATCCTTTGAGGTCCTCCCTGCTTTATAAAAACTGACGTTTCGTGTTTTCAGTGGAGTCATTGATGAGGCGCTTTTTCCTCCTAATGTAGAGCTTGAAGGATACCTCTGCATTTTTGTTTCCAACAAGACTTAGCTCCTAATGGACGAAAACAACATACAGGTAATGCTGTAGTTCTCACCACTTGTATGACCCTCAAGAGTTGTCCCTGTGATGTGCCTCGAGGAAATTACAAACAAAATCCTAGCATTTCCCGGTGTTTGTTGAGTTGAACACGGATATACATAGATGAAATATCCACATTTGGTGGGTATCAAGAATTATATGTGTTTTATATCAGTTGTTATTTAAGTGGCAAAATCTACTTTAAAACTTAATTTCTGTAACATCAGTGGGCATATGGATCACTTGAGGATCTTGTTAAACTGCAGATTCTGATTAAGGGATATGTGGGGTAAGGCCCAAGATTCTGCATTTCCAAGTTTCTAAGTGAAGGTGCTGCTGGCTTGGGGAACACATTTGGAGTAACCAGGCTATAGATCTGCGCTCTTCTATGCATTTACTAAACATGTTTATTGAGCACTTGACATGTGGATGGTACAGCTAAGGAACCAAACTTCTAAAATCACATACGTGGCTTGCATTTTATTTCTACTGGACAGCGTAGCTCTAGCTATCAAGTGCCTTTTAACTCTGCTCCTTTGTAATATAGTACTGGTATTTAGCAATAGCACTGATAGCTATTAGGGATTAGTCATTTAACTCCTGCTTTTTTCTATTGTGGGTTTTATAAACATTTTTCAGCCTTTTGCCCACCTGGAGCACAGGCTTTGGCAGTTTACCCCATAAAAGATTCCATGTCGCTAGGAGGCTTCTGCTGGTGTGGTGCCTAAGGCACTTGACTGCTAACCAGAAGGCTGACGGTTCAAACCCACCAGCCACTTCTCGGAAGGAAGGTTGGGCAATCCTACTTCTGTAGTGATACTGCCTCGGAAACCCAAGGAGGGGTCGCTGTGAGTCGGGTCCGACTTGATGGCACATAACAACGACAACAACCGCCTCGGAAACCCAAGGAGTGGTCACTATGAGTTGGATCCAACTCGATGGCACGTAACAACAACAACAACAACAAGGAGGCTTCTAACTTTTACTGAACACATTCATTAGTAATTTTCCCTTCAGCTGGAACTAAACCATAAGCATAAAGCCGCATTCTCACTTATTAAAATGCATGAGAAGAGGCTTTGACAAAGACTAGTTGAATTGTGGAGGAACTGCAGTGTTACCTAATGATGTTGTTGTTGTGTGCCATTGAGTCAGCCCCGACTCATAGCAACCCCTCCTTGGGTTTCCGAGGCAGTATCACTACAGAAGTAGGATTGCCCAACCTTCCTTCTGAGGAGTGGCTGGTGGGTTTGAACCGCCAGCTTTCTGGTTAGCAGTCAAGTGCCTTAGGCACTATGCTACCAGAGCTCCTGATGATAATGTAAGGATAACGGTGTTACCTAATGATAATGATAATTTTAAGGCGGTGAGGTGATGAAGGGTCAGGGTAGTCTTCAAAATGGGGAAATAAAGCTACTTCCTTCTTACTTAATTCCTGAAGGATTGCCTGATTTAGAACTTTTCCCTTTTTTGTTTTTGTTTGTAATCTTTCAGTGTGAAAGTGCAGTTGATGGCAGTTTTAAGGATGTTACCAACACGGTAATTAAGTTTAAGCCTCCATTATACAGACAGCGTTACCAGTTCATTAAAGATTTAGTGATTCAACATGAACCCAAAAAGGTAGGTATATTTCTCTTTCAAACAACTTGGCTGTCTTATGAAATGTTTCAAATGTGAAGAAAATCTTGATGTTATACACTTGGATGTTGTATTAGTTTCCTAGGGTTTCTGTAACAAAAACTATAAAGTAGGTGGCTTATAAGTGGTTAAAAGCATTTGGCTGCAAATAAACAGTTCAAACCCACCAGCTACTCTGCAAGAGAAAGATGAGGCAGTCTGCTTCTGTAAAGATTTACAGCCTTGGAAATCCTATAGGGGGAGTTCTCCTCTGTCCTATAGGGTTACTATGAGTCAGAATTGACTCAATAGCAGTGGGTTTGGTTTGGTTTAGGTGGCTTATAAGAACAGAAATCTCTGGTTTCACAGTTCTGGAGACTGGAAGTCAAAATCAACATGTGAGCCAGGCCACACTCTCTCTGAAGGCTTTTGTGGAAGATCCTTTCTTTCGGTTTCTCTCTCTGTCAGCTTCTGGTAGCCCCAGGCATTCCTTGGCTTGTGTTTTAACATGGTTGTCTTTTCTGTGTCTGTGTATCTATGTGTCTTTTCCTCTTTTATGAAGATATCACTCATGCTCAATAAACATGTTTAGTAAGTGGATACCATATAGAATACATATCACTTAGATTGGATTAGAACCTACTCTACTCCAGTATGACATGATTCCTTAAAGATCTTGCTTTCAGACAAGGTCAGGTTTCACAGGTACTCGGGGTTAGGACATCAACATATCGTTTTTGGGCACACAGTGATCTTGTAGGTTCTACATTTCTAGATCTTCTAGTCAAAACTAGTATGAAGGTCACAGGTATTGTGGTTCTTTTTAAATTAGATAATAATGATGTAGACTAGATGCTGGTAATTACAGTGAATTTTTGGATAAAACTTTTTTTCTGCTTGACTTTCAAGATTCATTTAAAACTCTTCTTCTGTATGAAGGTGTCCTTATTTTAACTGTGCTACTGCTGTTTATATACTTGCACACATGTTATAGTTATTTGTTTACATCTTTGTAATCATCCAGGTGTATTTGATTAAAGCATCTGAAATTGCCTTTTTGACAGCTCAGAAAAAGTTCAATGTGGAATTTCATGTGGTTTGATCTGTTTTATTGAATAAGAAATTAAATAACTATGTTGTGTGTATGAAATAGAATCAGAATTAAATTCTAGAAAACTTTATTCTCTGAACATGCTGAGAATATTTTAAGGCTCCAATGCTGGTTCTGATGGGGAAACTGTATGTACCTAATATTTTCTCGTATTAGTCCAGCATAGTCTAAAGCAATTGTTCTGAAATAGGGTTGATTCTTTTTATTTGATTAAATTTTGACTTTCATATTTAAAAAAAATAGTTTCATGATCTACAAAAGGAAATTAAGCAACATTTCAAGGAGATAATTTAAAAATACTCCTGAGTATTCATTCTTCTCCTTTTCCCATTGGTTCCTTACCTTGAGTTCAAGCCTTCTCTTTCTCTCACCAGTCTAAACTGAAACCTCTTTTGACTATCTTTACACTAATGTTACTCTTAGTAATCCCTCCACAGTTACTTTATGATCACCTTGAGCTGGTGGCATAGTGCTTAAAGCATTCAGCTGCAACCAGATGGTTGGCATTTTGAGACCACCAGCTGTTCCACAGGAGAAAGATGAGTCAGTCTGCTTCCATAAAGATTTACAGATGCACCCACCTACTCTAGGAAGATACCTTCCTTGGAACAGTCGGCCATGGGGCACCAGAGGGGCAGCATTCACATGGAGGGAAAGCTGGACAGACAGGAGTGCATAGCATGGGGTGGTGAGGAGGGGTCACAGGGATGGGAGGGAAGAGAGTGGGTTATGGTTGGGAATGGTAATAGGAGCATGAAATCAAATGTACACGTTGTTAAATTAAAAAAAAAAAAGTGCTCTATAAACTTGCACCCAAAGCACAATTAAACAACAACAAAAAAATAGATTTACAGCCTTGGGAAACCCTATGGGCAGTTCTACTCTGTCCTAAAGGGTTGGTGTGAGTCAAACACCAGTGACAATGGTTTGTTTTGTTTTTGGGTGCTCTTGAAGTTTGGTACTCAGCAGTTGGGGAGTGTTGTTGGTGTGGGTGGGATGGGATGAGATGGGGAGGGGAGGTACAGGGTTCTTGGAATCTCTTTCCCTTTGCAGCAAAGGTTAGTGATCAGTGTTGGTGGTGGTGAACGCCACAAGATCTGCCTGGATGATGCCACTCTTCTGTGTCACTGTTAAGCATTTGACTTTCCTAGGACCGAGGGAACTGTCCACAGGCTAGCCCAGAGAACATCTGGTTCCTACAGTGTCAGTTATTGGCTAAAGAATGATAGAATTCTTAAGGAAGATGATGGCAGTTTTATTTTCTTTAAAGAAGTCTTGTTATTTCAACTCTACAAACTTCTCTTTTTGCTGAGGTAGAACATTGCAGCTATTGGTGGAGTTCATATATCATGTTTATTAGTTTGGCTGCAGCTCAATTTCTGCTTAGAACAAAATTGGGTATGCATGTTGTGTAAATATCGTTGTTATTGCTAGGTGCTCTTGAGTCCATTTCGACTGATAGTGACCCTGTGTACATAGAAGGAAACACTGCTTGGTCCTGCAGCATCCTCAGTCACTGCTGTGCTAGAGCCCATTGTTGTGGCCACTGTATCAGTCTGCCTTGTTGGGGATCTTCCCCTTTTTTGCTGGCCCTCTCTTTTTCCAAGCATGCTGCCCTTCTCCAAGGAGTGGTCCCTCCTAACATGACCAAAGTTCGAGAGACAAAAGTCTGTCTCTTCTTGCTTCTAAGGAGTATTCTGGCTGTACTTCTAAGACAGATTTGTTTGTTCTTCTGAAAGTCTAGGGTATATTCACTATTCTTCACTAACATTATAATTCACATGCTTCAATTCTTCTGTGGTCTTCCTTATTCATTACCCAGCTTTCACATGCATAGGAGGCTATGAAAAGACAGTGGCTTGGGTTCCAAAAAATCCACTGCGGTTGAGTTAATTCTGACTCATAGTGACCCCCATTGGGCTTTCAAGGGTATATATCTTTACAGGAAAAGATTGCCTCATCTTCTTCCCACGGAGCAGCTGGTGGGTTTGAACCACTGACCTTGTGGTTAGTAGCCAAATGCCTTACCCACTGCGCCACCAGAACTCCTTTGGCTTGATAAAGCATGCCTTAGTCTTCAAAGTGACATCTTTGCCCTTTAATATTTTAAGGGTTCTTTTGCTTCAGATTTGCCCAATGCAGTACATTGATTTCTTGACTGCTGCTTTTTGGGTGTTGGTTGTGGATCAAAGAAAAATGAAATCCCTGACAATGTCAATCTTTTCTTCATTTATCATGATGTTGCTTATTGGTCCAATGATAAGGATTTTTGTTTTCTTTATGTTGAGATGTAATCTATACTGAAAGCTGTGGTGTTTGATCTTCATCAGTAAGTGCTTCAAGTCATCTTCAGTTTCAGCAGACAGGGTTGTGTTATCTGCATATTGAAGGTTCCTCCAATCCTAATGCTTTGTTCTTCTTCACATAGTCCATCTTCTCAGATTATATGCACAGAATACAGATTGAATAAAAGAATTTAAAAACAGTTACAGCATGATGGGTCTCTCCTCGTCCGGAGCAAAGAAGAATGAAGAAAACCAAAACTAAAAACCTGACTTCTGTTGAGTTGGATCTGACTCATAGCGACCCCTCCTTGGGTTTCTGAGGTGGTATCTCTATAGAAGTAGATTGCCCAGTCTTCCTTCCATGTACTGGCTGGCGTGTTTGAACCACCAGCTTTCTGGTTAGCAGTTAAATGCCTTAGGCACTATGCCACCAGAGCTCCTGAAGAAAACCAAAGATGTATGGGAACAATAGTCCAAGTGACTATTGTACCACCATGCAGTCCTCAGCCTATGTGACTGTGAGACTAGAAGAACTAGATGGTGCCCAGCTACCACTGTCAACCACTCAGAGGGGGATCTATGTAGGAGATCCTGAATAGAGTGGGAGAACAATGTGGAACAAAACTCAAAATCATAAAAAGACAAAACAACAACAAAAAAACACAGGGACCAGGTTTGCTGGTCTGATAGAGCCTGAGGGTACCCCTGAGACTGTGGCCCCTACCTGCCCTTCAGGTCTGGAATTGAACCCACTCTTACGGCCTCCAGCCAAAGACAGGCATATGAGCTGAACATTTGCATGAGGTAGTACACTCTTTGGAGAGATCAGTCATGGGAGAATAGAAGGGCTGTGTATGCACAGGGAGACATCATGAGGGGCAGGAGTACATGGGAGGGAAGGACACAGGGAAGAGGTAACTATGGGGAAGAAGTGGGAAGAGAGCTGTTGCATTGTGGGAAATTGCAGTCACTGTCATGAGACAGTGTATGTGAACTGCTGTATGGAAAGTGAATTTGCTCTGTAAACTTTCACCCAAATCACAATTAACAAACAAACAAACAAAAAAGGTTGTAGTAGTATTTTGCAGCCAGAAATTCAAGCTGGATTCAGAAGAGGGTATAGAATGAGGGATATCATTGCTGATGTCAGATGGATCTTGGCTGAAAGCAGAGAATACTAGAAAGATGTTTACCTGTGTTTTATTGACTATGCAAAGACATTCAGTTGTATGAATTATAACAAATTATAGATAACCTTGGGAAGAATGGGAATTCCAGAACACTTAGTTGTGCTCATGAGTAAACTGTGCAGAACATGGAGATACTGAATGGTTTACAGTTAGGAAAGATATGCATCAGGTTTGTATCCTTTCACCATACCATAGGCATAGAGGTTAGGGTTCATAGCATAATTTTTGGGGACACATTTCAGTCCATACCAATAAGGCTGAATGCTTTTTTTATTGCTAAGATATATTCTGAATTTTCAAAAGGGACCTTAGCAACATTCCACAGAAAACAGTTTGGGAAATGTTGAAACAGAATTCTTGATTTTACAAAGTGGAATTTTCTAATGAAATGAATTTTGGGTAAACTTTAGCTCAGCCATAAAACTTTTTAGCTTTAGCCCTTTGAAAACTATTCTAACATATATTGCATTAAGACAGTACATGGAATCTTTCATGAATCAAGATCCTGAAATAGTCCATACCCTCAAACATATATTTTAAGTCTTTTTTTGGGGGAGGAGGCATTTAAAAATGTACGTCATGGGTTTGTTTTACTGTCACTTGCTTTTCTCAAAGTGAGTTCAGAAATTGGGCAATTCAGTTATGGTTAATGAAGATATTATTGTACGATTAAGAAAATCAGATTTAATAAAAATGCGTAGGAATGTATAGGAAGAAAATCAGATTAATAAGAATGTGTGTATTCATGGATTATGAGGCACTGCAAGGACAGGCTGATATGTTTGGTAGGCACATTTGGGTGTTCAGTCATGAGGTTGCTCAGAGGCACCAGGTTTCTTCTTACGGAGCACCTGCCTACTGTGAGTAGAGTTCTTGTGCCGGGCCCCAAGAGTATACCTGATACTGACCTGAATAAGAGGAATTCCTTCTAAGGGCCTAAACATCCTTTGCATAGAGTTACCAGGACATGACTTATTTTTTGCTTAAGCTTACTGAACCTCAGGTTAATTTCCTTTTTGTGTACTCTTTCTGGTTTTATTTCTTATACCCACTCTGTACCCCCAGTCTCAAAAATATATATGTATATATTTTTTAATTATACTTCTCTGACTAGAAATATCTTTGAAATAACATTTTGTCTCACCTGCAGGTTGCAGACTTGGGTTGTGGTGATGCTTCACTCTTATGGATGCTAAAATTCCATAAGTGCATTGAACTGCTTGTTGGAGTTGATATCAATGAGGATAACTTACAACGAAAAAAGTAATAATCTTGTTTCTGAAAAGACTTGTGCATTAATTGAAAGCTAGTGTCATTATTAATTCTGTTTAGAGAAAGTGTTGATTTTCTACGACTTGTTTTGAAGGACTGGGAGCTGTGGGAGAGCCTTAATCCCACTGAATAGTAAAGCTTTGCCATAACACCAATTGATTAAGTCCATTTATAAGTTGGTAGAAATGAAATACAGGTATTATTTGCAATATATACAGAAACACCAAGCCAGTAATCAATTATTAAAACAAATTGTATAAAATCAGCCCTTTCTCTAAATAATAGTCAAAGCATGGCACAGTCAGTTTTAAACTTGCTTAGCGGCAGTCTTATCACTTTAATACAAGGCACTGTGATGGTTTACAGCAGAGGATTTAAGCTGTTCAGGAGAGCACTGGGGCAAAGTCACTAGCCTCCTGCTCCCCCTTGAACAGGGCAAGTCCCCTGTCTCTTGTATCTGTGTGTTAAAACAGTTGCCATCAAGTTGATTCCAACTCACGGTGACCTCGTGTATCAGAGAGAACTGTGCTCCGTAGGGTTTTCATTGTTCAGTTTTTCAGTGGTAGATTATAGGGCCTCTTCTGCCGTACCTCTGGGTGGACTTGACCTTCCAGCCTTTCAGTTAGCAGCTGGTCACATTAACCACTGAATCATCCAGTGACTCCTCTCTGTATATCAGATGTCTGCAGGTTGTCTCTCTGGGAGCTCTGGTAGGGAGCTCTGGTAGCATAGTGGCTAAGACATTTGCCTGCTAACCAGACGGCTGGCAGTTCAAACCCACCAGCCACTCCTCGGAAGGAAGGTTGGGCAATCCTACTTCCGTAGTGATACTGCCTTGGAAACCCAAGGAGGGGTCACTATGCATCGGGTTTGACTCGAAGGCACATAACAACAACAACACAGCAGGTTGTCTCTAGAATGGTTTTTCTACTAAAGAAGAAAAAGTTGGAAATCACTGATCCAAACAAAGTGAGCTGGAAGAATAAAAGTGTTAAAAATAAGAACAATATCCAAATTATTTTATATTGATAACACTTCCAAATCTTGTTTTTGTTGGCTGGTAACTTCCCTGTGTGGGAGGCAACATACGACCTGGAAAATAGGCCATGCCAGACTTTTATCAATGTAGGTTGATGATAATTGTCAGGATTCCAGTTCTGTAGCTGGTGAGATATTTTTAAGTAGATTATTGTATTCAAAAGCCCCTTATTTCTGCAATAATTCTTTTGCAGGTATAAGTTGTCTCCCCTCATTGGCGACTATTTAAAACCCAGGGAGAAGACGTTAACTGTTACTTTATATCATGGCTCTGCTGTGGAGAGAGACTCTCGTTTGCTTGGCTTTGACTTGATAGCATGTATTGAATTGTAAGTGTTAAGATAGTTCATACTGTATAACTGTTTGTTTTAAAAAGTCTAAGATTTTTATCCTAAATTTTTAGGTCTTAATTCTTATTTGTGAAGACAATTTACTCATTGGTTGGGAGTGTTTTCTCTTTACTGGCCTTTTTCAACTTTTTATTTGGAAATCATTTCAAGCTTACAGATAAGTTGCAAAAGTAAATAAATATCAGGGGTACTCATATACCTTTTACCAGGATTCACCTATTGTTAACGTTTTCCTCATTTTCTTTATCTGTGAATGTGTACATTCTTGATTTCTCTTTGTCTCTCACACACACACAATTTTTTCTTCCTTCCTTCCTCCCTCCCTCATCCCTCCCTCCCTCTCTCACCATTCTGACCCATGTAAGTGCAGGCTGACATATCATGAGTGCCCGGGTGGCACAAATGGTAAAGTGCTCAGCTACTGACCAAAAGCTCAAGTCCACCCAGAGGCACCTTGGAAGAAAGCCCTGCTGATCTGCTGCTGGAAGATCATAGCCATTGAAAAGCCTACAGAGTACAGTTTATGCTGAAACTCGAAGTTGACTCTGGCAGTTGGTTTGGGTTTTTTGTTTTACATACAGGCATACCTCGTTTTAGTGTGCTCTAACAATACTGCGTTTTTTACAAATTCAAGGTTTGTGATGACCCTGCGTTGAGCAAGTCTTTCCACCAGTATGTGCTCACTTTGTGTGTCTATGTCACGTTTTGGTCATTCTCATAACATTTCAAACTTTTTCATAAAACTTAACAGACTAAAATACAGTATAAACATAACTGTTACATGTACTGGGAAACCAAACTATTTGTGTGACTTGCATTATTGTGATATTTGCCTTATTGCAGTGGTCTGGAACTGAACCCAGAGTATCTCTAGATATGTCTGTATATCATGGATTTTTGCCTCTAATAAAAGATTAAATGTATATTTACTAAGACAAGGGATATTCTTTTATATAAACCATAGTTTACATAAAAGTTATATAAACTAAGTTATGTTGTTGTTGTTATGTGTCTAGTCGGTCCCGACTCATAATGACCCCTCCTTGGGTTTCCAAGGTGGTATCACTATGGAAGTAGATTGCCGATTGCCCAATCTTCCTTCCAAGGAGTGGCTGGTGGGTTTGAACCACCAGCCTTCTGGTTAGCAGTCAAGTGCCTTAGCCACTATGCTACCAGAGCTCTTAACTGACTCCTAAGTCAGTGTGCACTGGTGGGTACATATGTGTGTATGTATGTGTGTACACATATATACACTTGTGCGTGTACATCTGTATACACATGTATATGTGTCACTTTTTAAGTTATAGCTTCAGTAAATTTAACACTGATACTTTATTCTTATTCCAGTTTTGACAGTTGATCCAGTAAAGCCCTCTATTGAATATTTTTTTTTCCTCCATTAGAGGGCAATAGTTGATCCTAGATTGGAGAAGAAAAATTTCTGGGGTCAAATAATGCATTTGGCAGTTATATCTGTTTGTTGTTGTTGTTGTTATGTGCCGTCGAGTTGGACCCGACTCATAGCGACCCCTCCTTGGGTTTCCGAGGCAGTATCACTACGGAAGTAGATTGTCCAACCTTCCTTCCGAGGAGTGGCTGGTGGGTTTGAACTGCCAGCCTTCTGGTTAGCAGTCAAGTGCCTTAGGCACTATGCTACCAGAACTCCTTATATCTGTTTAGCATCTTTTAATCTGGAACATTTCTACAAGCTTTCTCTTTTTATTTATTTATTTATTTATGGCATTAGTGTTTTGGAAGAATAAAGCCCCCCCCCCCCAATATTAGTAGAACATTTTTTATTTTGGACTTCTGGTGGTTAGATTCAGGTTATGCATTCTTGAAATACTATAGAATGCTGCAGATTCAATGTGTGTCCTCCTTTGGACATCCCATCTGAGGTGCACAGTGGCCATCTTCCTTCTTTGGTGATATCAATTTTCTTTCTATTGTGGTAAAAATCTGCATAACAAAACTTTTGCCAATTCAAGAGTTTTTACATGTACAGTTCAGTGACATTGATTGCATTCGTCAACTTGTGCAGCCGTTCTTGCAACCTTTTCTAAATTGTTCTACCACCTTTAACATAAACTCAATGCCCCAAAAGCAGAAACTCCTCCTTTTCCCTTGTAACCACTAATTTTTGATTTCTGTGTATTTGCTTATTTCCTGTAAGTAAGATCATACAGAATTTGTCCTTTTGTGACTGATTTATTGTGCTCATTATCCTCATTGTGATATGCATCAGGACTTCATTTCTCTCTGTGGCTGAGTTGTGTGATGTTAATTTTGATTCCCCCGGTCAATGTATGTGTTGGCGCCACTGTATAGTTACTGTTGCCCCCCCCCCCCAACTAATACGCTATTTGTGGAGAGATATTTTTAAGACTGTACAGCTATCTTGCCCATATTTCTCCCTAGATTTAGAACTCATTAATGATTCTTGTTGGACCCAGTATTTGCTACAGTGGGGGCAAGTGATGCTTTTACCGGTTCCAGCACTTCCTCCACATTTACCAGTCGGCCCTTGGCATTCTGAGGGAACAAGATCTCTCTTCTCTTCTATTTGTCTATTTCTTCATTTAGATTTTTTTCAGTATGTATTCATGGATTCTTTTTTTTTTTTTTTTAGTGGTTTATAATTCATTACTTATTTTGTTGTTCAAATTGTCCCTATCTTCCTGTCTTGCCTAGTGGGGGCCCCTTTCAAACTGGCTCCCATGTCCTTGTGATATATTCAAGTAAAATTTCTTGTATATATTTCCTGGTATAACAAGATGTTTCAGTCTCCTCTTCTACTTTTCTTTCCTTGCTCTGGAATTGGTTATTTCCCCAAGGATCCCTGCTTTGAATGGGGAATTTAGAAACCATGCTATGTGCATCTTGATGGCTTTTTATTAGAAGTTAAAGGGCTTGCTCTGGGATCAGTTTTAATGATGGTATGTTCAGGTTGATTTTCAATTTTGAGTAATGTGCTCTGCTCCTGTAGAGTGAGTTTACTTTTTATTTATTTTTGTATTTTCTAGTGCCTCCTACATAGTAGGCAACTACCATTTGAAATTACTGATGGGAAACAGAGCATTACATAAAGAAGTAAGGAGGGAGCAGTAAGTAGGGTTAGAACAGGTACTGACAGAAAGAAAATCTACTCCTAGGTCTCACCATTCTGCCTTATACCACTTCTCACCTCCCCAGACTGTTACCTAGATAATTCTGTTTACACTTGGCTTTTATGTCAGGGAACTTACTGCACCCTATATCATTACATTTATTACATCCAGATAAATCCTTCTTAGGCTCTTTGCCCCTTATTTGTTCATTATTATCATGTGAATTATTTAGATATAATCAGTCTTCCAGTGTTTGACCTTTTAGTCAGTTTTTGACCTTTGCCTAGAACCTCGCCATTAGCATTCTGGTCTTTCAGAGGGCAAGTTACCCTTTTTAATACCTGTCTTCAGGATAGGTTATATGTACAATCCTTTGTGTATAGGAGCTCTGGTAGCATAGTGCCTAAGGCACTTGACTGCTAACCAGAAGGCTGGCGTTTCAAACCCACCAGCCACTCCTTGGAAGGAAGGTTGGGCAATCTACTTCTGTAGTGATATTACCTTGGCAACCCAAGGAGGGGTCTCTATGAGTCGGGGCTGACTGGACGGCACATAACAACAACAACCACCTTTGTATATACGTCCAGAAATACCCATCATTTACAGAGATACATGTGCATATTCCAGTTTCTTGATTCAAATAGTAGTGTACTATATGTACCATTTTGTACCTTGCCTTTTTCACTTGGTGGTATATCTTGGAGATTGTTCCCTGTCAGACCAAAAATGCTTCCTCATTATTGCTGCACATTTTCCCACTGGATGACGACAACATGATGTGCTTAACCAGTCTCATGTTAACAAGTACTGATCTTTTGCATTTGCAACACATAACTATATATGTGTGCGTGTGTGCATGTGCAGGTGAGTCAGTGTGCACTGGTGTGTACATGTGTGTGTATGTATGTGTGTATACATACATACACTTGTGCATGTACACCTGTATACACATGTATATGTGTGTCCATGTCATTTTTTAACATATGTGAACATATTGGTAGTATAAATTCCTAGAAATAAAACTGCTGGGTCAAAGGATGAATGTATTTGTAATTTTCATAGCCCTTCTAGTTATGGTAAAGGCTGAGCTGGTAGAACAGAAGCCACAGAAGAAAAAAAAAAAACAGTTTAAAGAACCCAAAAAACCCACTATTGTAGAGTTGATTCCAACTCATAGTGATCCTATAGGACATGGTAGAACTGCCCCACAGGGTTTCTAAGGCTGTAAACCTTTACAGAAGCAGATTGCCACATCTTTCTTCCAGAGTACTTCCTTACTCTGTGGGTTTGAACCAGTGACCTTTTGTTTCGCAGCCAAGCATTTAGTCACTGTGCTTCATTTAACTAGTGAATGCCAGGGCTTCTTGGTTTAAAGAAAGTAGAGCCTTTTTCTCTTACCTAACAGTCTGAGCTGAATGGTCCTGATTGGCAGTGGCTGGGATCCTCAAAGTCCTTCAGAAAAAACATTCCTTCTGTCTTATTCTGACATCCCTTAGACCCTAGATAGAGTATCACAGTCACCTGTCTGGTCCTGGCTGGCTCACAGGCACAGCCTTATTCCAGCTGGAGGAATCAGAGATATGTAAGCCACATGTTTTAAAGCCCAGACCTGGAAGGAGCACACCATCTTTTTCACTTTCATTCCCTTTGCCAGAACTGAGGCTTGTGGTCATACCTGATTAGAAAGGAGGCTGGACCAGGCAGCCATATGCCTGTGACAACTCTTACTATAGAGAAAGAGCAAAGTAGGTTTGTGATGGACATAAGTAGTTGTCTACCACAAAGTCATTGCCATTACTTTCTGTAGTAGTTGTACTGATTCACACGCCTCTTGGCCATGTAAAAGGATCTTTCCTTACCTCGTCACCAATG